GGCGGCCTATGGAGCCCGCGGCGTAGCCGAGCGCGGCGGCCACGGAGAGCGGCGGGACGCGCTCCCGCGCGTAATGGCCGCCCGGCCGGCGCCCGCGCGGAGGTGAGTGCGGCAGCGGCGGCGGCGCGGAGCGCGGCGCCACCTTAAGCGGCGGCGCCACCTTAAGCGGCCGCTGCCTTTTCTCGTTCCATGGTAGCGGCGGAAAGAATGTCGGCGCGGGCCGCGGGTGACGTCAGAGCGGAGCAGCGCAGCGCGGCGGTGACCAGGCAGCGGCAGCGGCGCCCGCGGCCCCGGCCCGGCGAGGGCGGCGGCGGAGCAGGAGCAGGAGGCGGGGGCGGAGGCGGGGGAGGAGGCGGAGGAGGAGGCAGCGGCGCCGGCCCCTCCGCCACCGCAGCGGCAATGGCGGCCGTCGGGGAGCGCCGGTCCCTGCCCAGCCCGGAGGCGATGCTGGGGCAGCCCTGGAGCCACTGGGTCGATGCTGCTAAACTTCACGGGAACGACGGTGAGCGCCCGGCCCGGGATCGTCCCCCCCCTCACCCCGCTTCTCCCCGCGGCCGCCGCCAGGGCCCGGCCGCGCCGCCGGGTCCCCTTGTGCCGCCCTCCTTGGCGCTGCGACCGGCCCGGGTGGCGCCCGTGACAGCGGCCGCAGGTGCGGGGACACCCCAGCCCCGCGCGCGTCCCGAGCGCGCCGCCGCGCTCACATCCTGTCGCTTTCTCTTATTCAGGAACAGCATTAGAAGAAAGTTTGAAGGAGTACGGGAAGAACCGGGAAGCGATGAGGCTCTGCCGAGAAGGTGAGTGCCGTTCGCTCTCCAGGAAAGCCGTGGAGTTGTCCCCATCCTGCTCGCTCACGAGAGGACGCTCGCGGGATAGAGGGGAGAAACCCGTCGTGTTGGAGTCGGGACATAGCGGCCTGCCCGTGAGTGATGCCCTTGCCGTTAAACTCGGAGCCAAGCGGAGCCGCAGCACTGGAGCTAGGCCCGCTTGCAGGCGTTCCGTTGGAGAGTCCCGTGGGCCGCCCTGCTCCGAAGGCAGCTCTGGGCACGGCCGGCACCGGGAACATCCTCCCGTGAGCTCGGTGGGGTTCCCAACCCGACGTGCGCCAGCGTGGGAGCCGGGCGCTCCGCTCCTCTGTCACATCCGTGGGTTGTGGCAGCTCCTGAGCGTGCTGCTAATGAGAACGACCTTTCACCCGGGGCTAGCGAGAGCTCGCGAGGGCAGCCCCGGTCCTCCAGAAACAAAAACGCTACCTGGAGTTGCAGCTAAACCGATCAAACCTGTAAATTACTGGTAACTTTATAACAAGGACTAGAGAAAGCGGGGATGAATCTATTTTGGATTTCCCTTTCTAATTTAATGGCTGTTACATAGCAGAGAAATGTTCTAAGACTTTCTTAATAGCATTGATATCTGTTCAGCTCTGTCAGGCATTTTTGAGGAGTATGTCATAGAATGTATGCCATAGTCCTCATAGTTTTAAATACGAGATCAGTTAGATCATTTATATGATTCTGTTGGAAATGGAAGGCAGGCGGCATAAACTTTGTTTACGATCACGCAAAAAGGGCTTGCCAGGGACCTTAGGAGATGATCTGATTCAGCACTTCTTTACTTGTGAGCTAGAAACAGCAAATGCAAATTAGAGCAAGCTGACATGGACTGGTAAGACTGGGAAGCGCTGATCTATTTTGAGGCTGAATCAAATCTTTATTTCTTTTGAGATTCCTAATATTGCTACAATATTAAAACAACAAACAAAAAACAGTTTCTAGGACCAATATTAGTAGTCATTGGCCTGTAAGAGAGATGCAATGGGATGCTGTGTTGTGGTGTTCTGGAAGACTTATACTGTTTGGCCATGTTTTAAGTGCATATAAAGCTAAAAGGCATTTTAAAAATAGCTTTATTACGCTATTCTCTAGTCTAAGTCTCTGTGTCATATATTTATTTTTTTTAAACAAGCAAGTCATTCAAATGTTAAAACAGCGTCTCGGAGATAAAACTATTGTGGTTTACACATCACAACAGTGATAAAACTCTGTGCTCTACACATTAGAAAGTGTATCAGTTATCTTGGTAAAGATTTTGCTAATAAGGATTTTCAAACTTGTTTTTTATTCCTAACTGTTAAAATGCGACCATCTAAGGTTTCTAGATTTTGAAGATTAGCTGGCAGGGTGAAGAATAATCTTTTTTCACTGGAGACAGATCAAGAAACTGTTTTTATATAGACTGAACATTGAGACGCTGCTTTTCCCTACTGGCTCCAGCCATGTGAATGATTTGTAGGATTAGGACCTATCGGAAGGAAATTTGTTAAGCACTTGGGTTTAAAATTGAAACCTGGTAGCTCTGTCAGGGTTCCAAAAGTCTATTTATTCTGGTTGCGATACGACATTTGATTCGGACACTGACTTAACATACGACTGTAGTCAATCTGTGAATAACTACTGGATACAAAATAAAGGCAGAAGAAAATGTCCTGTGAAGTTTGCACTTAAAAATAGGTGAGTGGGGAAAACATACTAGCATATAGACGTGGCTATGTACATAATGTTATCAAATAAGACTTAGAGAACACTATAACTGGTGCTTTTGTCCAGAAAGTATTGTGCATTCAAAATTAAGGAACAACTATGTAATGAATAATTGGACTCCATAGGCAGTGGATCTTAATAGAGAAAATAGGGAACAAAAATATAAACTCTACTGAATCACTTATGCTCTGAAGATTTTTGTCATAGTACCATACAATATATTAAATATGCTGAGCTACCTGGATGATTGTGTAAGAAAGTTCTCTTCTATAGATGGACATCTCTAACTCAGTCCCCAAACCTCGCAAAAGGAGTTCAAGGTTATTTGGGCTAAGTTAACCTTGTATTTCAACTCTTCCAGTTTACATAAAAGAATGAAATATTCATGGCCTGGAGAGGGGAGAAGTAGTGAACATGATGTTACAGTCCATTTGTGAGAATTGGGTTAAGTCCAGAAATTGTTCTTTTTGTTTAATAGGTGACACCTTTTAGATCAGGCTCTCGCCAGCCCGTGTACCCATTAGGTTATAGGTGCTTCCTTTTCCACCCACTCTTTCCGTGCTCAGAGTTCTCAAGGGAATAGCTTCAGCATCATCAGCCTGTTGGTGAAAGATGAATTTCAGCCTTTAAGGTATTAGAGCTGCATCCACTGAAGGTATAGTGACTGTTCCCACTCTGATTTTAAAAAGAGAGTTAGTGTTACAGCTTTTCCTAGTTCTGTGGAGGGATCAAGAAAGTCAAATAAGTTTGTACTCATAGATGTTTTTCTTTCTGTGTGTAACCCTACCTGACATACCCAAACTCACACCAAAGAAAGAAAAAAATTGAATTTGGGCTTCTCGGATTTGTCTCTCATCGTACTTCCCCGTTTGCTTTTGCTGCCCTACTGTGTTTTCTACGGTGCTAATTCACAATATCCATTCCTGCTCAGATGCTTGAAGACCTTCACCAGAGCAGGAAACTCAGTGGATGCTCTCGACACTGTTGCTTGTTAGGTCACTCACAGTCTGTGCTGAGCTTAACTGTTAGTCCAGCTAACATTAGGAAATGGTTATTTCATTATAGGAGAATGGTTGGTTGTGTATGTGGTTCCTATGACAGAATATTTTCTAGTTCATCATGTCATTTAATTACCTACTCTTTATGGATCAACGAAAGGTTTGATTCTGCTGCCATGTGGGTTTTTTTTTTTTCTGTGATGAAAAAACTGTAGCATGTTGCATTATATTTGCATTCCAGAACAGTAAGGCAGAAAACCTAGTCACTCTCACTCTTTTAATATTTTAAAATGAAGCTTTGCTGTAGTGCATCTTTCAACCTTGTCAGCTACATGTCACGTTATGTGAATACATGGGCTGTGTTTCAGCTCAGTTCATCTTACAGGTGCAGTACATCTCACATACTAGTTGGTTTGTCTTTAGTGTGTGATACTTTTTGTTCAAAGTAAATCGTTCTTAAGGTAAAACTTTGTCATAATTAGTGCTTGAAAACTTTGTTACCTTTTGTAAACAAGATGGTTTTCAGGAGATTTTCATCAACTTATCTAGGATTTCAGTTTCCTTTGAAAAGTTTATGTTTCTAGTCCATTGTAGTAGTGAAGATAACGTGTGAACAGAATGGTGTTGATAAGCAGAGTTCAGTCCTGCTAACTTTGACAGGCTTTGACAGAATGAACTTGTGTCTTGCTGAATTTAATGACAGGTTGACTTATTGCAATCTATTTCATGTTTAGAGAAGTTTTGAGTAGAAATAATAAGAAACCCAGGGCTGGTCATCAGGACCGGGAACTTTGCCTTCCTGCATCCCCAGGACACTCCAAACCAATGCTCCATGGGCTATATTTCTTGTTTCCAGCTATTCTGTATGTTGTTTTAGGACCCCAAATCTCAACAAAACTGTAGTAGGGAGAAAGGAAGAACATACTTGCTCTTGGCAGAGATGTTATCATTACCTTTGCAGTAATACCCGTTAATATATGAAACCCCATTAAAGTGGCTGGGGGGGAAAAGTCTGTTTGCTTGTTATATTGACACATAAAACAATTCCCAAATCTATGCAGTGATTTTAAAAAGTAAAAAGAAAAATAAGGCGAAGGAAGCTATAACATCTTGAAATGGAAATAAAGCTGGAGAAGAAAGGAGTGATTTAGTTTGACAAAATTGTGTATTTGTGCTCTTGGTAGCGCATTCAGGGCATGCCGAAAGCTTGGGTTATCTTCACTGTGGAAAAAAGCTTCAGTATCTTCACTGACTCTTGAGCCTCCTCTTTGGTTACACACATACAACCCCGTTCTTTTGGTGTTCTTTGAGAGTGAGATCTCTTGGGTGCTACTTTCTTCAAGTGCTTCACTATTGCTGGTTGTCATCTGAGGTTGTAGGTGACTGGCAACTAAGCGTAGCTAAGTGTAAGGAGCATTTGTAACCCGGGTCTCGAGCTGAACTGCGTCATTAAAACATTGCTGAACTCTTACATCACGACTGAGAAAAGGTCTTTGCCACCTTTATAGCATCCGCAGCCCTACCAGTGGTTTGTACTTGGTGCTGAGTGGAATCCTGAGGAAGTTTCTGCTTTCTCTGCGTGTGCAACGGAGCTATTTGGGGTGAGAAGGTCCACTGGGCAGTTGTGGAGGGAGATGCAGAGGAGATGGCTGCATTGCTCAGGGTGAGGTGACTTCAGCAGGGTTTCCTGATGCGCTCGATGTGCTTGGGGGTGTTGCAGAACAGAAATGATGCTGCCTGTATCTTGCAGCACGGTGACAGTTGCAGTTTTTAGGCTGTAGTGTTCTTAATAAAGCAAGTGCTGTTTTTTTTTCTTTATTTTTTCCCCTAAAATGCAGATTGTGGGTTTTTTTTTTCTATATCTTATTTTCAACTGTGTATTAGGCACCTTTACAAAGCACTCTTGAAGAATTTGTTATCTGAGCAATCAATCTATCCTACGAACAGATAGGAACAAGTTCTACTCAGCATCGTGTCACCCAGTAGCTGTTGAACTTCTGGTCTTAGACAGTTAATATATCCGAAAAAAACAAAACAACTCCCTCCCCCTTGTATCTTTAAGACAGGAAGTTTAAGATTTGATTATACCAAAGTCATTAATGGGACTATGTGCTATGATCGCTGCTGTGAACTCTCTTCTCCTTAAAGTCCATGCTAGAGGGTAGAACAGTGTTTTCTAGGACCGGCAGCCTCACAACAACCATCCTCATAAAGACTCAAAGCTCTAGAAATTTCCTAGTAGCAGATTTAATAAATAAT